ATTAGCATTCTTCTGTTGCATATGAGATCTCAGAAGGCGCAATTACGCGAAGTAGCCAATTACACACTTGCGCGTGGTGATAGTAATTAGTAATTTCAAACAAGTGGTTTAGAAAATAAGATTATTATGGGCTCGTTCATGTTCATTCAAGGTAAATTGTAGAACACATAATTACATTTTTTAGCAGTTTAGACACCTAAGCAGTTTGGCCGAGTGGGTTAGACTGTGTTCGAATGTACCGGGGGATACGGAGGTCCCGCGTTCGAGCCCCAGGTACGGAGTTGTTGATCATTGTCACTACGGGCACCCGGTCCGAAGGTCCAACCGTATACCGGCCCTTGGCTTGGGTTGGTTCTCTGACCGCTCTTGTCGGAGACAGATTGTAAGACTGTGGTTGGTTCCTCCACTAACGTGCTTTGGTAGACTCCGGGAGTCATACAGTATGGTAGCGAGCCTCCACCAAGGGCAGTAGTGGAACGACACGAATCGGTCCCAGTATGGTTGCCTTGCAACTGAAGAGACTCGAGGAAATCATGCCATTCGCGGTGACCCAGAAAAGACTTTTGCTTTTCAATAACAACTTTTTTAATTCAAACAAAAGCATGACGGTTGTATTGTAGCCAGGACACCCTTTGAGAAATATTCAATGATGAGTTGTAAATTTAAAATTGTATAACTTTTATCAATCTTTTATTCAGTTATGCATCATCTCATCACGTAACATCATCATGTTCTTCTATTGTCATCATTGAACTAAGTAAGTTCGTATTTTAATGGTGTTTTAAGTAACTTTACGTTCATATATCCGATGAATAATTTACATTCGTATTTTCCTGACTAAGTTACATAGCCGCCATTTTAAAATCTGAATAATGGAAATAATGGAAATAATTTTTTGTAGCGTTCAAAATGGCCGTAACTTTTCATTAAATTGTGATTTTTGGTATATACCTTAAATGCCAATTGTCAGATATGGATCAGATTTTATAATTTTCAAGATGGCTACTGAATTCAAATTGGCTACCATTTTCAAGGAGAAATATTTTTCATGGTTGCAAATACCACTATCATGTTTTGTTCAAAATTTTAGAGGCAAGTGGTTCATGGCCATAGGGCCTCTACTCAAGAAGGAATTTACTATATGAAACGTCACATGGATGTAAATTTGCTAAAGGAGACAATAAATACTACTACTTGCTTGGTTCTCATAATTTATATTATGTGTGTTGATGAGCGATTCAATAAATTATGTTTTGTTCGATGGGATTTGTTAATTTTCTTGTTGAGTGAGTAATTAATATTTAATAAATAAACTATATAATCTACTTACAAAACATAAATTAACATATTGCTATTTTAAATAATTTCTATCATATTTTGCAAAGAAAATCAACCTGTTACTATCGTGACCGACTTATACTAATATGTATATATATATGTATGTATATATACTAATAATTACCAGGTCAAGATATCTATCATTATTGCTTGATTTTATAAAAAAAAGTTTGACTTTAAGTGACTGCTCACAACCATTGCCACAAGCGATTAGAAAAAAAATTCTATTTTATTAAAACTTTTGTAATTGTTAAGTGTCATTTTTTAATTCCAGTTACACGTGAAACATTGTACTGTGAGATAATTGTAACGCCCTGATCTAGATTCGCAACAGATGCGTTTTGTTTGAATGTATCTCTTTATTTGCGTCTATAATTTATAAATGTAATTCATTATAGTATTTCATACACTTATTATATTAATTCATTTATACACATTCATTAATTTATGTAAAATGAGGCGAAAAACAATTTATTCTAGACTATTCGGGGTGTATAAAAGCAAAGCAAATCAGAGATTAAATCGAGTCGCTGGGAGGAATCTACAAGAGCAAATAACACTTTAAGGTAAACCTAATTTTGTATTTTATATTTTATGCAGATATTTTTAGATAGTACAGACACAACGAACCATTTTAAAACCCATTATAACTTGCAATAATTAAAAACGTATGTATGCGTTCAGTGCGTTGTATTGAATATCTCAGTCCCAGATCGGTTGAATAAATTAATTTCTGGTTTCAAATAGTTTAAAGAAGATTTGGTTGACTGTAATTTTGGCTGGTAGATGTCAAGTGAAAAAAAAATTTTAAAAGAAAATTCGGGGTGAAAATCTGGATCTTTTTGAAGAAAAATCGGGAGAAAATCGGGATTTCTCCTGAAAAATCGGGAGAAAATCGGGGTTACCCTTAAAAAATCGGGACAGAATCGGGATGACTCAGAATAATCGGGAGAAAATCGGGGTTTACAAAACAAAATCGGGATAATTATGATAATTATGTTATCTTTCTGATAAAGCAAACCAGATTGATGTCACAAGAACACGTGTTTGTGTTACATTAAGTCAAAGAACACTGTCAATAATTAAAAACGTATGTATGCGTATGATTGAATATCTCAGTCCCAGATCGGTTGAATAAATTAATTTCTGGTTTCAAATAGTTTAAAGAAGATTACTGTATGTTGGATACGTTGTTAGCTATTTTGTTTTATCACAAAAAATGCTTTTGCATATTTGTTATCACCACGTTTAAACTTTCATTGGAATGTAATGCGTCAATTGTTCGGAATTCCTTAGTCTCAGAACGTTCGATTTATTTATTAAATAATGTAAAGATGAAAGAACTTTACAAGTGTATATTAGTATGTGCAGTTACCTACTGTTTTTTGTTTTATCACAAAACCTATCGTACACTTTCATTTTTTGTGAGGGCATCTCATTAAAAAACGGGAGTTTTGAACGAAAATCGGTAGGGTATCATTTGAAATTCGGAAGTTTTGAACACAACATCGGGATATAATTACGAAAAAAGTCGGAATATTTTACAAATATCTGGATATTTTCTTAAAATCGGGATAAAAATCGTTTTTTGAAAATCGGGATTTTGAAAAAAATCGATTTAAATCGAATTTGACAGGTGAGTAGATCTGGAGTACTAAACGTTTTGGTTCAGGCGATTGAAATTATCTTCTTTTGATGATTGAATCTTAAAAATCAGTCAAAATAATATCACACTTGAAATCTACATTCACAATTTCATTTAATGCATAGAACATGAGAAACATATGTTGCAATACATATAATCGAATATTTTAAATTCTAATGGTCTTTAAAAGTTATAACAAGTAACATATGCTATACAAATACAAGTAGTGAGATCACAAAGCTGATTTTATGAATAAAATCAATCATTTGTGATAATACTTATATTTTAGAAAATTACATAATAGAAAAGAATTCCAGTCAATCACTGTCTAACTTACATAGTGTTACATTTGTTTTTCTAAGTCTATTTTATTAAGTTTGTATAACTCAAATCTACAAGTATATTTCATGAGAATCTGTTCCGAGAATGGTGATTCTATTATATTTTTGTTTTTCACGGACTTCATAGTCCACCAAGTGAAATATGTTACACATTCGATTCTATAAAAAGAAATAGACCTTTAGTAGCTTTTGTTACATTGATGTAAGTCGTCAAAGTAACATATATATTGGTAATATAACGGACTTTAGTCAATGTAACAAAATATACTGTGGTAGGAGTTAAATATATGAATTGCAACTTCATTTACAAAACAAATTCCAAATCGACGAATATTAAAATCTGCAACTTTACTTATAAGTAGGTTTAAATCAAGAAAACAAAAAACTCGTAACTAGGAAGTTATACATTTTGTTAAATTGACGTTCCGTCAAAGTAACTAGTTGTGGAACAGTGACGATGTAGAAAAAGTTTTACCTGATCGCACACATCATGCGCATCGCGTCCGTTGACGCAAGTTGAAAAACAAGGCCAATGCAGCAGGCAAGGATCTTACCCTGCCGCAAGATAAGTCAAATCGCAAATGATACCTATCTTCACTCCAGACAGTTATCAATGATACTTGTATCAATTTTCATTTTATTAATTACGTGAGATTTCATGTTTTACAGGCGACCATTTTGTAAAGTGACATTTTCTCAAATGAAGAATTCGGTGGATTTTGTTACGCGGTACACACGATACAAATATACGTCATATTCCGCAACGAATATGGCATATTCACTTGCGATGTATGGCAGATTCAACTGCGGTATATATCATACTTACTAATCAATGATAACATGATACGAAAATACGCAATTGTCAATTGCATCGATTGAATGAACGGGCGGAAGTTTACAAATTATTGAAATGATTACTGAATCAACAGTATAGTTCATTGAATTAATGCATAAATATCACTCTGCAATCTCAAGTAATAATCTTAGTCAATAAACCCAGGATTCATATATTAGTACTCGAAGCACTAACGATATTGGTAATCCAGCGTAGTTTTACATTTAGAGTTGATTTTCGTATCCAATCAAAGCAAGGCTTTCTGTATCACGTTTTCACCTGCGGTATATGTTATATTCACCTGCGGTATATGGCATATTCCGCAAGTAGGTATGACATATTCCGCAGGTGAGTATCGGGCATTCACTGAAATAAAAGCATCGCATTTTCACTGCGGAATATGCTATACTCACCTGCGGAATATGCCATATACCGCAGGTGAGTATGGCATATTCACCCGTATCACAAATACCGTGCAACAATGTTTATATGCCATATTCCGCGTAACAGATTTGTCAATGATATGACGTGTGCTTAAAACGTTTCAATATTTCAAAACTTTACCTCAATTTCGTCTGGTATCTTTAAGTTTGAAAATAATTCAGATTTAGTCGTTTTCCTATCTTACTAGACATAAATATGGAATTTTCAATATTTTGAAATTGTACACTGTAAAAAGTTGCCTTGGGGAAGTAACATGAGAACCTTTACGAATTACTAAGACCAAAAAGGGCAATTGGCGTTGAGTTCGAGTTGTGAGAGCCGTTTCCATTCATCTTCATTTTTTTGCTTAATATATGTAGCATATTTATAAAAAAAATATTTTAAGAATTTCTATTACAGCTGATGATCATGTCATACGGTGGTAGAATGAACGGTGCTTTTGTAGTACTTCTCTGCATGGTATCATGTATTATTCATGTTGCCGAGAGCAGTCATTGTACGGCGAGTGGGCCCTTGCCTGATGGATTCGTTTACGACGCAACACTCAATTCTTGCTATTATTTTATGTACATTTCCACTGGGACATGGTTGGAGGCTGATGGAGCTTGTAATCGAATGCATTCTAAACTTGTCGCAATAGAGAGTGCAGCAGAACAGACATACATTTGGAATAAAATAACAGCGGATGGCCAAAACTCAAAAACGTTTTGGACAGGAGGCAACAACTTTGGTCCCCAGTGGAGATTGAATCGTCCAGGTGCTACCTCTCTGAACATTGTCACTTACTCTAACTGGAATGCGGGTGAACCAAACAATCCCCTACTTGAACACTGTTTGGAATTATCAACAGGAGGGGGATGGAATGATGTTCCATGCGAATCGAGACGCTTCTATATCTGCGAATTGAATTAAACATGTAATTCATATATTCTTTCAATAAAATTGGTGTCACTTGACACAATTGAGTCATCATAGAATTAATAGTTCCGACTTGTAAAATATTTGAAACATTCGAGTTCTAATTGGAGTTCTAAACTCATATACAGATATACGGGTTAGAACATTATTTTAGCAACATTTGTGGAGCGCCTGTTGAAGGACGGCGCTCAAAGCTCTTGAATTCTTCTTTCTGAGCACCTTATACTTAATTTCAAAAAACCCAACAGGATGCTTATACCAAAGTAACATTATATAATGTCATTTTCCTTCCTGATAACTTAAACTAGCCTTGCCCAAGTCGGTCTCTTTTACTATCTGATTTCTATTAATAATTCAAGATCAGATAAGTAAAAAATACCGACTTGGGCAAGGCTAAACTTAAACGGACAGTGTTACATCTATGCGGATGATACTTCGCTTCATTTTTCCTTTGATCCTAAGAATCCTCATCAAATTGATAATATTGTGAACTCGAGTCTCCAGAATATTGAGCTTTGGTCGAAAACATGGGGCTTACAGTTTAAACCTGAAAAAAGTTGTGAAATCATTTTTCACGGATCCAAAATGAAACTAGACAATGTTAGTTCATCTACTCTAAATAATATGGAAATTAAGAGAGTCAATGTGCACAAACATCTTGGTTATACTTTTGACCCTTGTCTAACCCATAGACAGCATATAAATGATATTTTTGACAAAATTAGTAAAATGCTTGGTCCATTAAAGGCACTCAAAAATATGATGACTTCTAAACACATTGAAACTATTTTTAATTCTTTCATTCGTCCACATTTTGAATATGGAACTGTCCTATACAATACAGCTCCTAAGTACCTCCTTCAAAGACTAGACAGATTATACTATCAAACTGCACTATCTTGCTCTGTCTGTCTCCATGGAAGTAGTTTCGAAAAGGTGCTTTCTTTACTTCAGTGGCCCACTCTGGAAACCCTGCGAAAAATTCAAATAAATAATCAAATGTTCAAAATAGTTAATGGCCCTGTTCCAATATACATTGATGAAATTTTTGAAAAATTCCGTTACCCTAGGGGTCGTGATCTTCGGGAACACCGTGAATTCAGATTACCTGTCCGATGCTCAGAAACCTATCGTAAATCTGCAGTTCCAGCTGCTATTTCTAGCTGGCTTAGCCTTCCAAATAAGATCAAACTTTGTAAAACTCTTCAAACCTTCAAACAGAAACAAAAGTTATTTTTTCGGATCAACCTCAAACTATAACTACAAGCCAACTCAACATCTCAAGAAGTCATGAAATTATCATTAATCGACTTAGAGCTGATCTCCTGTTTAAAGCCCAGTTATATGCTCACAACTTTAATTTTATTGATACTCCTAATTGTACATGTGGACTTCCTCAAACCAAGGGAAAGATCAATACCCGGTGATTTCAGCGGGAAGTGGCGTTTCGTTCATTGGATGAGCTGCGCGCGCACGCATAAATGTGATTATCCAATATAATTAGGGGAGGGCTATTTGAAGTAGTTTTTGGTCTCAGGCGCGACCCAGGGCTGTTGTCTTAAGGACATTTCGTTGAAAATGAGCCATTCGGCTGATAATTGGTAAGAGTTTGCGATCTTATAATGTATAACTGTTACTCAGACACATATTTTGACACGATTCTGTTGGAAATAAGCTTTGAACCGAGAGATATTCACGATTGATATGCACATTTTTGATTGTGCCATTGCTTTTCTATTGCACAATCCATGTATTGATAGAAGAAACATTAATAATACAGATTGGTTTACCTTCAATACATGGCAGACACTACATATCGGTCTATTAATACCAGTTTGTGCCTTAAATAGTTTTATATTTCCATCCACGGCCTGGAGCCTGGGTGTGTTTGTCTCTTATGTGTATGCTTGTGCATGGACTTCTAATCACTAGCAGAATTTAACATGATGCAAACTCGACATTATAACTCATGCTGTAACATTTTGACTTCGCTGGAAAACAATAGGAATTCTTTTTTCTTGCCAATCAATCATGAATCACAATCAAAATTTCAGAATGATCAATCAGGCAATGGTCCAAATCAAGTTATAACATTATATGATATTCAGCAAGAAGTCCGGTAGAAATACAGAATATTTTAACATCAAAGCTGAAAGTTAAAAGCTAATCTGTCAATTTTCTGTCTGCAAAAGAGCGTCCCAAGAGCGTTTACATTTGACACAATAACAGACTGAGGCTTTGAAATCTAGGATTCCCCAGGAAAATATGACGTCATACTAATTAGCATAAGGATTTCCCTATTGGGGTGGGTCGAGCCTTGTTCGAAAACACAATCCATAAATACATGCTAATTTCTAAGGAGATAGGAAGTGTATAACGTGTTTATCGATTTTGTTTAAAGATTTAATCAATTATCAAATTGTTTAAGTGGATAAAGTGGTCACACTTGCTTCAATTCATAGCGAAATCGACGGATAGAAACTGACCGAATTCCCGATATCCTACCCCGTATTACTGTAGGCTATAAGCACAGTGACCTACAGAGGGCGCTATCACAAACAAGTACTGGACGAACCGATAAATTCCCGGGTATTGTAACGCCCTTGCTCAAACCTTGAAACATGTTTTCTTTCACTGCCTACTATTAACTGCAGAGAGAGAAAAATTATTTAAAGATATCAATGAAATAGCACTAATTGAACATAGAAATCAAAATTATTACTTGAACTTATTTAAGCATGGAAGTCTTGACATCTCCCTAGATAAAAATTCACTTATTTTGACAACTGTTGCACCTTTTCTTCACACCAACAATTTGGCTCTCAAAACCTAATGAGTACCGACCCGGCTTCCGACCTGATATCACCCAAGACCCAGGAAACTTATGTGCCTGACCTGCACACATTTGCTATTATATTACGCTATTTGTGTTTATTTTGCTCCTCTATAATGCTGAAAAAAGATCGAGAAGTTCTTGTGTAAAATATTTTACTGGTATAAATAAATAAAGTAATGAATAAAAAAATAAAATAAAATAAAAAACTGTTTGAAAATAATATTTTTCCATAATACTAGTGTTTTTCCTGGGAAATAAAAGGTAAAGATTAAAAGGTGGATTGGATCGAGTGGATTGGATTCATGTAAAAGGTGGATTGGATCAGGAATTTTCAAAATATGGAATTTCTTTAAGATTTTTTTCTATTGATCTCCCTCTAAGAAAATTGGTGCTCTCCTCACATCCAAAATGTCAAATAATAGATGAAATATTATGTTGTTCGGGTAGGCTAGAAGGGTGATATGACCTGGTACCCGCTTTCTGAAACACAATCTTCCAGGAGTAGTTTAAGGCAATTCATAAATACTAGTAATAAGACAGGCTGCTTTGAAGATCTGCTTCATTTGTTTTCAATCCGAACAGACCATAGCAGAACATCAACATTTTATCTAGAGGTCTGTGTTTATTATGCATTACAAAAGTCAATTTACAAGGGAAACCAGTTAAATACCTAAAATATCTGTCAATTTATTGTATGTTACTAAGATGTATTTGTTGTTGCTTTGTTCTGATTCTTCAAATGGGCCCAAGTGATCACAAAATACTTTGTAGAGTGGAAATTTGCTTCGAGGGCGATCGAAAAAAATTCCATATTTTGAAGATTCCCGTTCCAATCCACCTTTTACATGAATCTAATCCACTTGATCCAATCCACCTAAAATCGTATTGTCCCTCTGAAAATCGTATATACTCGAAAAATCGTATTGTCCCAGGGAAAATCGTATTGGGATCGTATTCACTCAAAAATCGATTTGGTGAAAAAACTATCTTGGAAAAGTATTATAATCCTATATCTACCCGGGACACTAGTAGCAGTCTATCACAGAATGGCCACAGTTCATCATTTGGTTCAAATTCGATCACTTTATAGCCTATTTACTTGTAACAGGGCCATAGAAAAATTGAATTATGGAATAAAAAGATAATTGCATGGTTGATTTTCAATATGGATTTTATCCCACGGGAAATATGACATTGACCTCGGTATATTAAAATATTATAACCTATAATTATACGGTCCATGGTCAGAGCAATATCAGGTATATAATAGCAAGTGTTAAATCTCATATTTGGGACAAGGATTATATCAGGATTAGGAGCATGATATGATATCAAGGATGATATTGATATCATCCCGGGTAAATTCAAAAATTAAAAAAAGATTATTTTTTTCAAAATTTTTCATTTTTCCAAAATTATACAAAGATTTTATTTTAATTGAATTTTTCAAATATTTTTATTTTTCTTTATTTTTCTAAGTATTATGTTTTCTTGCCCTTAAATTCGCAATGTTCTTTGGAGTAGGATAATATGTAACGCAAATATTTCTAAGATTCAATCCTTTTTCTCTTGAATTCAACAGAAGATTTTGGGTAGGCATTGCTCTTGATCATTGTATAAGGTTGTTATTCACCTGTCGGGATGATATGGGTAATACCCCTCGGATGATATCGATACTGCGTTTCCTCAAGAAATATTGATATCATCCTTGTGATATTTCCCATATCAAATCCCTCCTGGTGAATAAGTACTTAAAATACATTACCTGTGAATAAAGACCCTGTGAAAAAGTGCTGCATTTTTGAGAGAATAGTGAATATGAATGACGTGTCGCAAAAAGGTCGCGCACGCATTGTTACACATTTTCGCTTTTTAACACGACAGAATGTGACGTTTTTAGAGAAAAATGTACACATATGGAAATCCTTTCGTCCTCCACATTTGCCTCTATATCTCAAGATATTTAAGGCGAATAACTCCGATATCGTATATGTATTAACAATGTGATAGGAGCATCATAAAACACGAATCAATTGATATTTTAGGTGAAATAAATATACGTGTTGCTGTGCTTGAAAGTAGGCGAATGGCGTAAATTAGCCCTATTTCAATGAATTTTGAAAACCTTTCGTCCTCCACTTTTCCACAACAGAAAACACATACTTTTGCGAACAAAATCAACTATTTATTAATAAACTAGAGTTTAAGAACAAAATAATCATGTATGATTTATTAAAAATTGATCTCGAATTTTTTGTTTAATGTTCACCTGAAAAGTTGAAGGTAACAAAAATAAAACTTCCATCTACCTTTATCAAGACGAAAAATAAGTATAACACATATATTGTTTGAGTTATGAGCTTTTAAAGACGAAAAATAATTCAAAATGTTTCCTGGTTCTTGCTCTCATAACAATAACACGTTCACTTACACCAACTGGTCATCTGACCAGCCAAGTAATAGTGGAGGCATTGAATACTGTGTCAACAGGGGATATTTGCCAGATGTTTTGGTAAAAAACTCTTTTTTAAAAAAGAACGCGCAAGAATCGTGAACGGAGTTGGTTGATCTAAAAACTTCATCGAAACAGCTTTAAAATGATATATAACTTTAATTAAAATATTATCTTATAATCCGGGGAATCAAAGTTACATTCACGCGATACCCTTAAAAACAAATGCGCCACCTTTTTGCGACACGTCAATGTGAACATGGGGTAAATCATGTCAATGAACTTTGTCTCAAATGTTATAGTTGATGACCATGTTACACAACAAAATGAACAATAGTATTACTGTTGGCATTGTGCCTCGTGGCACTCGGTGAAAAATGCGGTTGTCCTAGGGGTCCACGGGGTTTTAGAGGTGTGAGGAGAAAGCCTGGTAAGGATGGTGCCCCCGGAGAAAGGGGACCTCAAGGACAAAAGGGTGATCCTGGACCACAGTGCGCTAAACCAAGTTCATGTCCAAGTGGATTCGTTTTCAACCCGTCTCTCAATTCCTGCTATTATTTTATGTACATCTATACCTTGTCATGGTTTGACGCAAATGTCTATTGTGCGCTACTGAACGCCCATTTGGTTGCAATAGAATCTTAAACCGTGTGGTAGCTCACAAAAGAATTATGTGAGTGTAAGTGCGCTTGGATGATGAGCTGGTTTTGTTGAAAATACAAGTTGCACTGCATGGATATTGTTCTTTTAGTGATACCTGGAGAAAAACCTCGTTAAAGTATTACGCAATTCACTAGCACCACGGGCATACAAATAATACAGCATAAATTTCAATAAAACCGTTACGAGGAATCATGAATGTCTACCGGCAAAGTGCAAGAAATCATTTGTATTTTATTTTCTGGATAGATCACTACTCATATGATTTATTATTGAGGTATAAGCTAACCTTACTAATATATAAATCAGTTTGAAATAAAGATTTGGATAAACAAAAAATACATAATTTTTTTCATCATGATTCGAGTAAATATGTTAGGAAAATAGTTGTATCAAGGGACGTAAGTATAGATCAGGTAAGTTTTTACAATTTCCAGACATTTTACCGACGGAAGTATTTTAAGAAATATTGTATGACCAAGATTTCTGCAACAACATAAAAAAGCTGTTTGATAATAACTGTACCTGTAAATGAGGGGATAATATGAACTGGTACATTGGGTAAATTATGCTTTTTATCTGAAATGTTGTAGTTGATGACCATTTTACACAACAAAATGGACAATATTGTTAAAGTGTTCCTCTGCTTGGGATTGTGCTTTGTGGCACTCGGGGAAAAATGCGATTGTCCTAGGGGTCCACGAGGTTTTAGAGGTGTGAGGGGAAAGCCTGGTAAGGATGGTGCCCCTGGAGAAAGGGGACCCCAGGGACAAAAGGGTGACCCTGGAACACAGTGCGCTAAACCAAGTTCATGTCCAAGTGGATTCGTTTTCAATCCGTCTCTCAATTCCTGCTATTATTTTATGTACATCTATACCTTGTCATGGTTTGACGCAAATGTCTATTGTGCGCTACAGAACGCCCATTTGGTCGCAATAGAATCTGAAACTGAGCAAAAGTATATTTGGGACAAAATATCTTGGGATCAAAATCAAGGAAAAAGGTCTCATTGAAATATTTCTTGGGCAGAAAAAGGTTAAAGAGTGTCTTAAAATTCTAGTTGCTTGGTTGCGATGTTGGTCAAAAAGACTATGGACATAATAAGGCACTTCCTTTCTTACAATTTTGAACATCAGTCTTAGATTTTTTCGTGTCTTTTGTCAGTAAGCGATTTCCACTGTAAACATTTTAAAGTTTTTGAGGTGTTAGAGCCATGCAGTACCCCAGCACATATAACAGCAGCTTGGTAGTGGATTTTATCAAGCTTTGACAAGGCCGCCAAGGATGACGATCCGTAAATGGAGCTACAATAGTCAAAATGAGACGCCAAATATGAATTATACATTATTTCAAGATGTTGCGATTGTATTTTGTTTGATATGAGCTTCAAAGGATTTAACAGTTTTTGAACTTTATTAGACAGATAGTTTATATGGTCATTAAAAGTCAAATTCTCATCTAAGATGAAACCCAGGTGCTTGTGTGATTGCTTTTGGGGGATCATTTCACCATCAAAGTAAAGCGGAGACATTTGAATATTTTTTTGTCGGGTTGAGCGAAAAACTAAATGAGCACTTTTAGATGCTTTAAATTTCAATTGCCAGGTTCTAGACCATGCACTTAAAAGATTTAGGTCATTTTGGAGTTGGCCAGTTTGATTACCAGAAGGGTGAAAGAAAGAGTATAAGGAGGTATCATCTGCATAGATAAAATTTTTCGAGGTCAGAGTGTCAGGGAGGTCATTTATGTATATCAGAAACATCAGGGGTCCGATTATGGAGCCCTGAGGCACACCGGAGTTTATGAAGTGGTCAGGAGAGAAGTTTGATGTGTGATCATCTACAGTGACACAGACTTTTCGATTTTCTCAGTAAGAAGAGCAGAGGTCGGCTAATTTACCTTGAATTCCATATGATTTCATCTTGTGAATGAGTAAGTTATGCGGTACAGTATCAAAAGCAGACGCCACGTCTAAATAAACAGAATTAACACAGTTACCTTTTTCCATTTCGTTAAAGATATAGTCAGTTATTGCTAAAAGTTGTAGCTCAGTGTTGTGTCCTGGAAGAAATCCAGATTGAAATTGATAAAGAAGGTTATTTTCAAGTAGATGCGTTAAAATGCGATTATACACAATTTTTTCAAAAATTTGGGAAAAAGTGCTTAGCAAAGTAATCGGTCTATCTCAACTTGAGATCTATCAGACTTCTTATAAATTGGAGAAATGTTTCCAAGTTTCCAGCAACTAGGAAATTGGCCACATGCAAAAATCATGTTAAACAATTTTGATAACTGGAAGGATAATGCTTCCTGGGCTATTTTTGTCATTCTGTTATTAATTTTGTCAAGACCACAGGCTTTATCGCGATCAAAGGACTGGATTATTTGAAGAATTTCATCTGGATTGGTAGATAAATGGTCAATTGATATTCCAGTTCTATTTGGAAAATGTGGAAGTGCATCGTTATCCACTTGGTTTAAATTATGATATTTTGAAGAAAAAAAGTTAAGGAAACACTCAGCTTTTTCACCCTCAGTTGTAGCTATGTGATCTGAAAAATTGCACTTCAAACTAGGGAGTAAAGCATGAAAAGTTCTGGATAGAAAAGAATTGACTATGTTCCAGTATTGTTTTCCTTTACAGGTTGATTCATTAATCTGTTTTACAATATTTTCCTGGTAATTTAATTTTGCCTCTTTTATTAAGGATTTGACCTTTTCAGCTTGAGCAGTGTAGTTGTCAAAAATAGTTGTGTCATTTTTTGATTTGGTTTTCCGATAAAGTCGTTCTTTCTTATTGATTTCGCGTTTAATTTTTGAGTTCATCCAAGGTTGATCATTTGCATTTAAAATTGTTGTTTTTTGAGGAATGTATTTTGAAAATCACCCACCATTCAAAGAGGATTGGTTCATGATATGAAACTACCGTGACCTCTAACAAAAGAGTTGGTAGCGCACATTAAAGTAATTCAGTGTAACCCCAAAAACATGTCGAAGCATTTGATATATTTCCTAGACATATATCTACTTTTATAATATTCATTTGTTATATATAAGAGTCAATACAAGAATATATATCTATATACATATAATTATATACTTCTTCATGTCATGAAATGCTTGAACTCATAAAAATTGATATTTGAGTGAGTGCAACATATTTCATTAGTATAATTCGGTCACGATAGCAACAGGCTGATTTTCTTTGCAAAATATGATAGAAATTATTTAAAATAGCAATATGTTAATTTATGTTTTGTAAGTAGATTATATAGTTTATTTATTAGATATTAAATGTAACTCACTCAACTAGAAAATTAGCAAATCCCACCGAACACAACATAATTTAATGAATCCCTCATCAACAAACATAATATAAATTATGAGAACCAAGCAAGTAGTAGTATTTATTGTCTCCTTTAGCAAATTTACATCCATGTGACGTTTCATATAGTAAATTCCTTCTTGAGTAGAGGCCCTATGGCCATGAACCACTTGCCTCTAAAATTTTGAACAAAACATGATAGTGGTATTTGCAACCATGAAAAATATTTCTCCTTGAAAATGGTAGCCAATTTGAATTCAGTAGCCATCTTGAAAATTATAAAATCTGATCCATATCTGACAATTGGCATTTAAGGTATATACCAAAAATCACAATTTAATGAAAAGTTACGGCCATTTTGAACGCTACAAAAAATTATTTCCATTATTCAGATTTTAAAATGGCGGCTATGTAACTTAGTCAGGAAAATACGAATGTAAATTATTCATCGTATATATGAACGTAAAGTTACTTAAAACACCATTAAAATACGAACTTACTTAGTTCAATGATGACAATAGAAGAACATGATGATGTTACGTGATGAGATGATGCATAACTGAATAAAAGATTGATAAAAGTTATACAATTTTAAATTTACAACTCATCATAGAATATTTCTCAAAGGGTGTCCTGGCTACAATACAACCGTCATGCTTTTGTTTGAATTAAAAAAGTTGTTATTGAAAAGCAAAAGTCTTTTCTGGGTCACCGCGAATGGCATGATTTCCTCGAGTCTCTTCAGTTGCAAGGCAACCATACTGGGACCGATTCGTGTCGTTCCACTACTGCCCTTGGTGGAGGCTCGCTTCCATACTGTATGACTCCCGGAGTCTACCAAAGCACGTTAGTGGAGGAACCAACCACAGTCTCACAATCTGTCTCCGACAAGAGCGGTCAGAGAACCAACCCAAGCCAAGGGCCGGTATACGGTTGGACCTTCGGACCGGGTGCCCGTAGTGACAATGATCAACAACTCCGTACCTGGGGCTCGAACGCGGGACCTCCGTATCCCCCGGTACATTCGAACACAGTCTAACCCACTCGGCCAAACTGCTTAGGTGTCTAAACTGCTAAAAAATGTAATATGTGTTCTACAATTTACCTTGAATGAACATGAACGAGCCCATAATAATCTTATTTTCTAAACCACTTGTTTGAAATTACTAATTACTATCACCACGCGCAAGTGTTTAATTGGCTACTTCGCGTAATTGCGCCTTCTGAGATCTCATATGCAACAGAAGAATGCTAATGCGAATTCGATTACAAAACATTTTACTTTTGAATCAATCATTTTTCAATGTTCATAAGCATTAGGTTTTATTACAGTCGGAGATATATATTTTAAGAACTTAGAAAAAAGTCTGATATAAAGTCACCACAACGCGACATTTTTAGAATAATCGTGTACATTGTAGGCGTATAATAATAATAAAACGTTCATCGATTTTGAAAGGACTATTCTCGGTTTGGAGAACGAAGTTCGTCACTCTAATTGAGCGTTATCCCTGCTTCGGACAAATTTGATTTTTTTACATAATATAGATTTGAATGTCTTCTTTTGAATAGTCATAATTTAATTTGGGTAATATTTCTAGATTTTTCATATAAAAATTACTAGTGAACCACCCAACGTCGCTTTTATGATTCGTACCACTTTTTTTAACTTGATGTATTGCATATTTCCGTGGGTCGAATTGAGAAAAAATACAAACAAAGTGTACAGGGATATGTCATGAGCATATAATGAAAAAATCTTTTCATATGTTTTTAAGAAACATTCGAAAATAATTCATTCTTAAATCGTGTTACATTTTCGAGATATTCTCTGACATTCTATACAGATTTATCCAATAGAGGGCCTCCCAAAAGAGTGACTTTAGATTTTTGGCATTTCACAAGTCATTTTTAAAATTGATTTATCATCTATTAATTAGATGTCACCACTTGCTATGAACTACATGTACGTGGTGAATATAAGCAAGTCAATTGCTGTGAGCTGGAGAGGGTGTATTTATATCACTGACTTCTATCCTACCACGTGATTACGTTTTAAAAGAAATATGGGGCCCGGGGCTACAGTGAAGTTGCAAATGGAGCAGGTATTCTCTATCTTTTCGACGGGGCTTTTCTGCTAATAATACACTGAAAACTGCCTGATGAATTTATACAATATATTGTAGAACACTTGGAATAAACATGTATGTAAAATCCAGTATACATTCAGAAATATTGAAATAAACAAACGTCCTCCCTTCACGGCTTCACTGTAGCCTGTACCCCTTTTAAAGGGATACATCAGTGAGTTAAAAATAAAAAAATCAGTGCGGGGGATGGACGGGGAATCGAACCACAGTTCATCGCGTAGGAGGTGAGGAACTTGCCACAAGACTACGGCTCTTTCTACCTCTGTCTTTTTGATTTAAACCTTAAAATTCGCCCAAGCATCGATCAACTTGGTTATTATATAAATTACACTTTCATTGTTCAACCAAGCTACAATTAGCCATTGATGAGACATAGTCTAGAGAGATTAAACAACACGTAAGTTTACAAAACGTGAACCTTAGAAAAATGGCGCCCGTATAAGATTTTTTGTGTTCTTTTTACAATTTATATTTTGACACGATTGCGATGAAACGTACACCTCGAAAGCGCCGTTGG